CCCATTTTTTTTTTCCAATTTTTTTCCACCCCCCCCCCCCCCCCCCCCCCCCCCCCACCCACCCTACCCCCACCCTGCTCTCTCTCACTGTCATCTCATCCCCTCTTCATAATATCCCTTTCACCCTCAACCCCACATTGTCTGTATACATACACTATATATATACACATACTAGTGTGTGTGTACGTGTTTGTGTGTGTGTGTGAATATTGAACTTGTACTAGAGCCATTTTAGTAAGTAAACAAAGAGTGTTACAATTAAAAGGATGTCTCATCACATGATTTTGTTGCTAATAATTATGAGTGTGTGTTTTTGCGGGTTCGGGAGTCGAGAAATAGTGACGACAAATGCCGCGGCGGTGAAATTAACGGGCAACATTTCGCAGGTGGAAGATGCAGCTTACCTTCGTATATATTACGGGCAGACATTTAAAGTGATCAAGAACGGGTTTGATGGCAAGAGTTATCTTCTCATTCAGGTTTTATTTCTTACTTTCACTTTGACATTAATTATTGTTATTTCTTTTTAATGATGGACAAATTTAATTCCATTCATTTTATATATTATTTTTCCTAAATTAATTGCTTTTATTTGCGGTTGGATGTGTTAGTTACAGTGGATTAAAAAAATGAGAAATTTAATTAACCTTAGTTTTTTAAATTATAATAGGCGGCATTTTTATTTTATTTTCAAATATTCAATGATTCAAGTAAAGATGTGCAATTTGCAATAATACAAGGGGCCCAAATTTTCGGGGGCCAACAATAAAAATATGACAAAAAATGTAATTTTTTTTAAATATATATGGGTAAATTATAATAATCCTTAAATAAGAGGATCTTTGAAAAAAATATTTAAAACTAAGAGTCTAAAGTAACCCTATATAAAAAAAAATGAAAATAAAACTTACAAATAACCCCTGGAGAATGTCTAAAAAAAATAAAAAATAAAAACTGTTACTCCAACCCTTCCAAATTAATTGTTTCCAAATTAGCTGTGACTTTTTTGTTTCAATAATATCTGTTACTTTAGATCATGATTTATTATTTCTCAATTTTGTGATTATTACTCTTAATTACTTGATCGAGAATTAATAAAATTAAAATTAATGGCGTGAGTATTTCTGTCACACTATATGTTGCTTCCCAAAATTTAGGAGTACATTAGTTTTCTTAATATATGTTCAACAATCTGAAATAACAGTTATTTTAAAATGGAGGAAGCAAAAAGTACTTATTTGCAATTTCTTATAACATTACTTGCGTGTACAAATCGTATACATCCTTAGACTATCAAATTTCATACTTTTCTTGGAGCATATCAAATATTAAATTCAATATCTACTACTAAGAGTGGCACATATGATACTTTGAAAATTTTGTTCAAAAATCATTTCTAATGCAAATATTAAATTAAATCTCTATGGCACAAATGATACTTTGAGATTTTTGTTCAAAAATTATTTCTAATGCAAATATTAAGAAAAATCTCCTAATAATGTGGCGATGAGATGACACTTGCGATTTTAGAAATTCTTAAGATGACATTCTGAAATTGGAGTGTCATCTTGAGAATCTCTAAAGTGTCAACTCATTATTTAATACAATTTTTCTTTTAGTTTCTGTTAAAATATTTTAATTTTAAGTGTCGTATTAAAGAAGACTTTGCAATAGATAATCTCAATCTTGCCAAATAGGATAAAAAAAATTATGATTCATATTTGTTACTTGATACTAATGATTGACACCTAAAATCTTCATATTGTTGTTTTAGTGATGCGTTGGAGATGCCATTGTTTTTAATAAAGGTATATTAGGTATGGTCAAATTATTAAAAAAAATCTCATGTTTGGATAATTTACATTTACTCCCTCAACTATGAATCTTCTTACACATCCACCCTTATGGTGCCAAATTCAATATAATCATCTAGATTCTGTGAAATGTTCTCTAATTTGTGCTTGTTTACAAGCCTAAAAAACACATCTTATGATCATCTTGCTTTAAAATGTGGAGCTCGAATGGGATTAAACGTGTACAAAATTGAGAATATTCCATATAATCTAGAAGATTCTATTAAATTTGAAACCGCAAGGGTAGACGTGTAAGAAGATTTATAGTTGATGAGGTGGTTGTAATTACCCAAACATGAGGGGGTTTTTCGTAATTTTACCATATATCAGGGGGTGATTGTACGGAATTCTCGTGCTTGGTTTTTTTGTCGGTCACTTTGACGAATCACGAATCGATTGAACATTTCACACATACATGCACTTAGCACTATAGACATTCACATATCATATCACAATAAATTTTGCAAAGACAAAAAGGTTGGACCATGAACTTTTTTGTAGAAATATAAACTAATTAAATATTTCAAAAACAAAATATAATTCATTTAATTTGTTTATATAATTGACTTTTATTTACACTTTTAACATTTTTTTTATTAATAATACTTGATACTAAATCCATGTAAAATTTTATGCTACATCTATTTTAGTTGAAATTTTTAATTTAATTTTTATTCAACTATAGTTCTAGTTAGGGGTGTTACTCGGTCGGCAAACCATATCGAACCAAAAATTCGGTACGTGTCAAATATCGAACCAAAAATTCGGTGCGGTATTCGGTAATAAAAAATAGAATTCCGGTATAGGTATTGATGCACTTTTTTACATTATTTACAAATTAGCCTATATTGAAATCACTTTTTCTTTTTAGGGCCGATTATTGAAATGTGAATGTCTAATTCAAGAATTAATTAGTTTAATTTTTAATTTTTGTTTACCTTTTTTAAAATAACAAAATATATTTTCGGTTTTACCGGTATCGAACCGAAAAAACGGAATTGATTCGGTAAAAATCATATACCGAACCGAATAGTTCATTTCGGTAAATGGTACAAAACTTTTTGAAATACCCAAATTTTGATTTACGAAAATTCATGTACGGTTCGGCACCATTTTACCGAGTTAACACCCTTATTTCTAGTCGATCCAACACTAAATAACGAAATAGGTGAAGTAAATTTTATTATATAGTTTTTGCTGATTTTTTAAAATCGATTTTTTTTGTGCAGAATAATTCGAAGATGGCAACTAAAACAAAATACTGCACCTCAAGGATAAAATCATTTGTCATTCCATTAGCCAACTACTCAATTGATGCTGATTATTTTCCAGGTTATTTTAATAATATTTATATTAATTAATTAACTCCTTTTCAAATATTATTATTACTTACTCAATTTTTGGTGTTTTTTTCATCCTGAATTTGCAGTTTCTTTCTTTGAGGTGAGGATTGCCGGTTTTAGTAAGAAAAATTATTACTTTTTGCAATTTAATTAAATAAACAGTTAAATTTCTATAAATTATGAATATATTCGGGACTAATACAAGCGAAATATTAAATTATCGAACTAATAATCTATACGTTTTTACCGAATCGGGACCAAAAAAAATTATTATTTAAGCGAAGTTATTAATTTATCGAGCTCCTACTATATAAGCTACAACCATGCATGATAATAGTTGAAAAACAATTGAAGAGGATCATAAATTACATGTTTATATAATAATTCCAAATTTATCGAAAATTTGTAAAGGAAACAACATATACATTAGAACCTCGATAAATTAATAACTTCGCTTAAATAATAATTTCTCCCAGTCCCGACTCGATGAAAATGTATTAAATTATTAGTTTGAAAATTTAAGATTTCGCTAAAGTAATAAAACTTTGTTAATCCCAACTGTATTAATTTATAGATTTTTTTTTTCCCTAATAATTGGTGGTGTTATTACAATGAGGGGCAGCTCCTAGGATTACTTGGGAGTTTGAAAGGCATAACATCAGAATATGTATCTTCTGAATGTGTAATAAAATTGTACAATGAGGGACAAATTCAATTAGTCAACAAAACTCAGCCACAAGAGTTGACTCAATTTGCTGCACATTTCATTGTAAACACTGATCAGCCACAGTCATGCAATTTTGCTACCTTTCTCCCTATGGGTGAGGAGGCTCCTCTCCAGGTACATTTTATATATATCGAAACAAATTAAAACCCGATTTTTTTTTATTTATTAATTTATTTATTTAACGAAATCGGCTAAGTATTTTTTTTATTCTTGAAATTTCTCAGAAAGCTGAGTGGATTAAGTACTTGGGAGTTTTCGCAAATTTGGAAACACGGGCGAATCAGGTCTACAACGTGGTAAGTATAAAACTTTTTTATTACACGAACGTTATAACATTTAGGCTGTGATTCGATCGTAAATACGAGAAGCAAATTAATGAAAATAGTAGGTATGATCTATTTTATACATTTATTAAACATGTATTAATCAATATGATTTTTTTTTTTTTTTTTTTTTTTTTTGCAGATTAAGAATAACTATATGTGCTTAAGTAAAGCTGCAACGAGCAGGGTGGCGCCATACAAACCGATCGTGGCTTGGATGTCGTATACTAATGCATGAACCATTACTAATACTTTAAACAATTTAACTTTCATTATTTTAGTGAATATAAATATTTATATTCTTCAAATTAAATCTTCGAATTCGTTTCCAAATTGTTACAGGGTGTCTGGTCATTCGCGAAAGAGACGTACAAGCTAAAGGTAATTTAGTCTAGTTCCGACTCGATTTTATTTACCTAGGATCAAAATTAAATGCAATCTGGAAATTTTAATTAGATATATCTATATGTAAGATTCAATTTCCCTTATTTTACTGCTCAAGAAGTGCATATGTATATATATGAATGTAATAGTTATATAAATGTTTTTATTTCTCTTATTCCTAACTGATTTTGAATTTTCTTGCTAACTAACAATTCTTTAATTTTTTTTTTTAAATCATTCAAATAGTATGTGGAGGACTCGGGCGGTGAAAATATCGATAATTCCATAAACAAAGTCACGTATAATGTATCTATGCCAGACGATTTGGAAGCATTTCATGCCATCCTTTGTGTAAGTCGATTAATAAAATGATGATGTTATATTCGTAGTTTTTATCATTGATTGATGTTTTTAAAGCTCAAACTATAGTCTCGTTTTTCATCGGTTTTCTGGAAACCCCGTTTGATTAATTTATTTTTTTTCAATTTTAATTTTATTAGACTAATGCAATCGTTGTTGGTTAGACTATCGATGCGGTGATCGACGAAACATATACATCGGACTTATTGGCTTACAACGCGTCAACATTTCTTCAAAATTTGAATGTCGAAGATCAATCTTGCTTCGGTTTCATGGCCAATCAGAGCCTTTGGAGACATGATAAAAGAATTCAAAAATCTATTGCTCTTGGTAATTTATACAAAAGGACTTCCCTTAATTTATTTATTTATTTTCTTGATTTTATTATATGCTAATAAAAATAGTGATAATTTTTTTTTTTTTTTTTTTTTTTTTACATTGATGAAGATTGGTATGATGGAGCAATATCACAACCTCATCTAGTTCTAGCAGATCTCATTGAAGCTTTATTTCCATCAGGAAATTACACCACCACTTATTTCCGAAATATCGCTAAGGTATAAAAAAAAAAAAAAAAAAAAAAAAATCGGCCGTTTTTTAATTCTTATTTTCGAATATTGATATAAATTTATGAGTAGAGGTGTGTATAATTTTGTTGGTGTCATTATATTTACAGGGAGAAGGAGTTGTAAGCATTAGTCCGGAGATGTGTAACAGAGAAAGCTCTGTTCCCATGGAACCCTCGATTGTAGCTTGCTCGTAAACGTATCGAAAAATTCGAATATTATTTTTTCTTGCATTTATCTCCCAATTTAGAGGCATTTTTATCATGTGTCAAGATTTTTAGAAAGAAATTTTAAAAAGTTGATTTTTTTTTGTTAAGTATCAGGTGTAGTAGTACTCGAGTTTGGACGGAAAATTTTACAAATCTCCGTTATGGGGGTTTAAATGTATTAAACATAATTCGAAAGGGGTTGTATAATTAACCTTCAACGGATCTAAATGTAATGACACCTAAACTCGTGGGAGGTGAGTGCAATTACGGGTGAATTGCGTTTTGCACCTTGAAAATAACATGGATTGGTGCTTTGCATCCTTAAATTTTGAAATTGGCAAATTGCACCCTCGAATTGCATATCTAATGGCAAAATGCATCATACACCTCTTTTGTGGTGTTTATTTTTATTACTTTGTATTTCTAAATTATTATTTAATTATATTATAAATGAAACACAAAGGAAGAAGTAATGATTATTATTTTTGTTAGTTATTTTTTTCTTTTTTTTATCAAAATCGGAATTATATATGATTAATAAAAAATGATATAAAGCTAATTTTAAAAAAAAATCAAAAAGTTGGAATTTATGCTACGAAAAACATGTAAATTATTAACATTAGTATTTATGTTACATACTTTAGGTGATTTATTCTAATTTTTTAAATCTAAATAATTGATTAATTGTCTAGTTACATTCTAAAGTCAAATTTTATGTTATTTTAATATTGTTTGTACAAGAAGCTTTTGTTTGTCCTACTTAAATTCTCATAATTTTTTTTTAAATACTAATAATTGTAAATATTAAAATATCATGATATATTTATCTTTTGGTTAGCATCTCACAAAGAACAATTATAGGTACATAATTTTGCCATGAGATATGCAATTTGAGTGTGAATTTTGCCAATTGAAAAATCAAAGGGTGCAGAGCGTCAATCCATGTCATTTATGGGTGCAAAATGCAATTACCTTTGTAAATTGTTTTCCATGTAACAAATAAATGACTCACATTTTCAATCACCCTAAGTAGTATGCTTTTTCATGTGTTTGAGCTCTTATTACATCATGAAAAATAAGCCTTCTTCTTCACTTTTTTCACACTAAATAGCTTCTCTCTTTATTTTCACAAACCATAAAAGTAATATAATTTATTCCATTTTAATTAGTGTTATATAATTTACATGAAAAATCTACAAAGAAATGCTCAAATTCAGACAATTTATTTATGCCATACTATCAACAATTTCTATAGTCATCTTCATTTTCTTGATTTCCTTCACAACCCAATACAAAACTATTATAACCACTCCCCCTAAAAAAGACTCATCTAATCATCAATTCACCCTCTTAATCGGAATCCTCACGAAACCCGACAAATACGAGCTCCGCCACTTCCTCCGCCTAATCTACGCCGCCCAATCACCGCCCTCCCCACCCGCCAAAATCGACATCAAATTCGTCCTATGCAACCTCACGAAACCCGAGCAAAGAATCTTCATATCACTCGAAATCAAACGCTTCGATGACATCATCATCCTCGACTGTCTCGAAAACATGAACAACGGGAAAACCTACACGTACTTCTCCTCCCTCCCGGAAATTCTTCCCGCCAAATACGACTACGTAATGAAAGCGGACGACGATTTATTCCTAAGGCTTAAACCCTTGGCTTCGTCTCTAGAGGCATTGCCTAGACAAGACATGTACTACGGTTTTGTGATACCGTGTAATAGCATGAATCCGTTTAAGCACTACATGTCCGGTATGGGGTTTGTGCTGTCGTGGGACCTAGTTGAGTGGATCGGCGAGTCGGTAATCCCGGTTAATAATACGTTTGGACCGGAGGATAAGCTTGTGGGCCAGTGGTTGGATGGCGGGAAAAAGGCGAAGAATAGGTTTTCGAATAAACCGGCTATGTACGACTATCCTGGGACTAACGGGAGATGCTCGCATGATTTGATACCCGACACAATCGGTGTTCATCGAGTGAAGAGGTGGGATCAATGGTTTCGTGTTCTTGATTTCTTTAACGTGACTAAAGATATTAAGCCCTCCAGGCTCTATACATTATAAGTAGAGATTTATTAAAAAAATTCGTGTTTTTTTGTTTCTTTTGGAGTTAAATTTTTGGAACAAAGGTCAGATTTCATATATAGGTGTGTGATGTTATGTAAATTTGAGATCATGTACCAACTCTTCTAATGAGTATTGATTGGTCGAATTGAATTTTAGTATTATTTATATGCTCCTAGGCCTCGTTTGGTTGGGAAATTAGCCATGATTAACTAAATAATTGGACATTATTTGATGTTTGGTAAACAGAATAACTTCTTGGGTCGACTCGAAAATATTATGTTATCATGTGACTTTTAGGGATATTTTTGTTGGATCTTCTGTAGTCCAATACAACAATTGGATTTTCATTAGATTATTTAATCTTATCTTGACTAATCCCATCCTGGCAACCAAACGAGACCTTATTGTACTTGCGAGTTTTATGTATTCATCATTTTGTGTTATTAATCAAAGACAATCCATTCTTGATGAACTAATATCATCTCTTTAATTTTTTATTTTAAATTTACATATCACCATTTTAGACAATGTTAATGTAAGTAAACAAACTTATGTAGTAACTTCCATCTCACAGATGCTTTTCTGCAAGTTGTGTTCTTCATCCTGCTCCGATTTTCCCGGGATTTCTTCAAGCTCCTCCAAATAACCTTTAACAAGAACACGAATTCCATCGTTATTTCTATACTAAACATAAAATCCACTACAAGTTTCAGAAAACATGGACTTAATTCAGTTGTCTTACCTTCTCAACGTCGACTCCGAGCGCCTGAGGTATAAAAAACAAAAAACGAGACGCTACATCAGTTATCCGTAAATTTCATAAATCAATAATATTCCTATGCTAAACTTTTTTCTAGGAATTAAAAAAAAAAAAAGTAAATTCATGCCTTTGTGATGGCTGTGGCTTTGGTTTCTCCTTAATCGGTTCTTGCTGTCGAGTTTCGTCCTTTTTCATGTCCAGATTCTTGACCTGTATCATCATTAATTAAAAAATCAAACACCAAATTAAGATTATTACAAGTCAATATTCAAATGTATGTATGTATGTATATATATATATATATAATATATATACCAAGTTGTTGAATTGAAGATTGTAGAATGTGTGAATGTATCTCCCCTTGGCCTTCTTCTCATCATTATACAACCTCCTCCAAAAGCTATAGATACATCCCATATTCACAACTTTATTCGCGTATATCTTCCACGTATACCTTCATCAAACGAGTATTTAAAAAAAAAACGAGCAAATTCATCAATGTATATATCGAAACATTATCTAAGGTATCGAGTTGTATTTGCTTGAATTTTATGTTGAAATGCGTTAGTTAGTAGAGTTTTTTTACCTTTCGTTTATGCGCTCGAGTCCTTGAATCGAAATCCGGTTCCAATACTCGTTATCCTCCTTGCACTTTACAAAAAAATCGGCAATCTTATCGCTCGACTCTTCTCCCTTGTTTGGATCAACGTGAAAACCGGAAACCCCGTCAACAATTATCTCGGCTGGTCCACCTTCGCTAGTGGCAAAAGTCGGCAAACCGCAATTCATGGCCTCGATTACCGTCAATCCAAACGCTTCGTAAAGAGCCGGTTGAACGAAAGCTCCCTTTGTATCGGCCACGAAACGGTAGAGTTCGCCGTTCCTTTTTCTGTCCGTTTGCGCAGCTATCCATCTAATCTGTCCTTTGAGTTTATATCTCTCGATTAATTCGTGCATTTTTTTAATCTCCGAAGCTTCTTCTCTGTCTTTCGATTTCGACGGATCGAAGAAGCCTCCGACGATTACGAGGTTGACTAGGGTTCGGAGACGTTTGTTTTTTCCGTACCATTCCGTTAGCCCGGTGATGTTCTTCACCGTGTCGAGCCTCGCCATGCTGAATATAATTGGTTTCTTTCTGTCTTCTAAATATCCTCTGTTTTATTTATTTAATTTTTTTTTTTTGAGGAAAAAAGAAAGAAAGAGGTGAATGTTTATTTAAAAAATAATATGAAATAAAATTGTATAGACTATGTTTGGTTTTATGGATTTTGAGCTAACATGTGTTGAGCATTTTCTACTTTGTTGAAGAGTAGTTCTTCGAGGGCGGGGCGAAATGCGGTGAATCGTTTTGCTTTGTCGGTGTAAGGGAAATAAACCGATTGGTCTGCTCCGGGAGAAGCGATGTTGAACTTTGGATCGAAGACGTTTATTCCCGATACAACTCGATGTAGCCCCGGAAGAGTAAAGGCGGTGTGGCTTTCGTACTGCCCAACTCTATCTTTGCTGCGAATAGAGACAACATATATAATCAGTAGCAAAGTCAGCATAGAGCAGTGGGGGCCACAACCCCCAAAAAAACATCTATTATTTTGAGTTTATTGCAATTAGTACACATGTGTTATATCGAATTGCTAAAAACTATTCCATGTTATTTTATTAGCAAAAACCCTCATATGATTTATTTTTTCAGCAATTAGTATACAAAAAAATCTAATCGTAGGGGTTTTTTGCCAATAAAATAACATGGGGTAGCTTTATAGCAATTCGAGATAACACAGGGGTACTAATTGCAATAATAAAAATTCTTAATAGTTAAGAATTATTATTACCTTCCGGCGATTTCTTGGTATGTGCTTGTAATGATGAAATCTGCCGAGTTCATTGCGATTAAATCGGCCGTGAACTGGCACGAAAAGTGATATTTCGAGTCGAATTCCTTCCATTTGATGTCGGAGTCTTCATACTTAGTCTTCTCCAATGCATGTGCAATAGTTCCCTAGTATTCGAACATCCATTATCGTATATATTTCGAGTTTTTTGTCAAAATATTTATATATAGTTAAAAAAACTACATGAAAAAAAAAATACCAGGGTAGTGTCAAGTTTACTAGCCATCAATGATGCCACCAGATTTCCATCGGTATAGTTGCCGATAATTAGATCGGGCTTCACTTCCATTATTTCGACGATTTTCCTCGTCGCGTCCTAATAAATTTATCGATTAAAAAAAAAACGTTTTTAAATTTGATATATCTAGGCAAATTAAATAATATTTGACCTGAGTGAACTTCTCGAGATAAGGATAGATATCGAATCGAGAAACCCATTGTCGAAGAACGCCGTTTTCGGTCGTGAACGGTACTCTAAGGATGTGGGAATGCTTTGTGTTCATCACCGGTTCTAATTCCACGTTGCATTTAGTCCCTTTTGCATCGGGAATTAGTCTAGTGACCTATATATACATTATAAACGAAATTATTGTTTCGTTTTTTTATTTTTTGGTGTTCGAAACATCTTCGATTAAATTGATAGGAATTAATAATATTTACTCGTACCACAAGAATCTGAGGTTTCACATTGAGACCTTGCTGCTTAATTCTCAGCAGCAATTCCTCTTCCAATGCAACAACTTGATCCAACACATATACCACCTGTCCAAAATATTATTTTTTTTTCGAAAAAAAAAAAAAAAAATCTTGTAAAATATGAAGGGTAATAAATTCAATTGAAATATCACTAATGCAACTTGATATTGCATATATATATATGGTAAATTATTATAATGTCAAATTACGAAAAAACTCCTCATGTTTTTTCGTAATTTGACCTGACCTCAAGGGTAACTGAAATTTACCCAATATATATAATAATTCTGAAGATAGTGCTATATATACCTGTCCACCGGTATCCGGCAATCCAAGAACATCGGACTGTCCAAAATATCCGTGCACAGACAAAAGTACGACGTTAAATATTACAGGAAGCCTTCCGAAAAATCGGTCCATATTCAACGGATCGGGAGCTTGAAATATTTCCGAAAGCGAGTGCATTGTATCTTGAACTCTTTCAGCATTATCACCCCATCCTTTCTCGAATCCCCATTCTTTAAACCTATATATATATATATATATGTATATACGTTTAGTTTATCAGCTCGTTGTATATAAAAAAAAAAAAAAAAAAAAACCGAGATAATTAAGAAATAGACTCAGTTTACCTTGTCTCGAAGCTCTGAAAAGGTGTATCTTTCGGAAGTGAAGAAAGCGCCGTTTCGGCTACTATTAGTGCAGATTGAAGCTTCGGCACTGTGTTTAGTGTCTCGTTTATCATAAGATTCTACAAAAGTTTTACGACAAGATCATTATATTTTTCAAGAATTATTTTCTTATAAATAAGAAAAAAACATGGTTAGCTAAAATAAGTTGCTTATAAGATCGATAATCGTACTTGTCCTTGATGGTTTAACGAGAGCAAGTAATCGACGAGAGATTGTGCGCTCGGAGAATTGTTATTTAGCTTCGATGTGAGAAACTTAGAAACATAGCCGACTCCATTACCGATCGAAGACGATAGGGTTAGATGAGGCATAGAGAAGTCCATTGCTCCAAAATCAATTTCCAATGCATTCTCATCAATTGCCCTGCATGGATGCATGCATTTTCAACAAAAATTGTGATACATATAATTTGGGCTCTTGCAAATGTAAGCAAAAAAAACAGAGTAATATATGAAAAATCCCATTTTACCCTTGAGTTCTTTCATTTCAACCAAATAGGGGACATAAAAAATAAATAAATAAATCACACAATAAATATACCAGGTCTCAACCATAGTCATCTCTTTAAATTTCAAGTAGTCAGTCGACGAGATGCCCTCCACGGAAAGATCGTTCGCGCTAACTTTAACATACTCCCAAAATCCCGGAGAAGGCCGAACAGCAAATGCCACGTGTGGAGGAACTACTGCTGCTTCCTGCAAAAAAAAACAAAAAAATAATGTTTGCGTCAATAATCGAAACAAAGACCTAAATATGGATTAATAAAAAGAAACACGCGTTAAGGAAAATCGTAGTACAATAGAACCTCGATAAATTAATAACCTCGATTAAATAATAGTTTCTCCCGGTCCCGACTCGGTGAAAGTGTGTTAAATTATTAATTCGATAATTTAATAATTCGCTAAATTAATAGAATTTCCCTGGTCCCGACTGTATTAATTTATAGAGGTTTAACTGTACGCACCTGAGTGGTGCACAAGATGTAACCGAGCAATCCTTCGAGCAACTGAGTCCTTTCGGATTTGTCGTCTATGACTTGCTCCATCTCTTTCATTAAGTGGTGAACTTTCATTAGCCGTTTTCCTTTTTCGGTGTACTTTGCGAAGCACCTCTTCATGTGGTACCGGCTTTGCCGTAAGGCCTCCGGCATGCTCTCTGCTATCGACTCCGACCTCTTCAACGCCGGTGCATTCGAACCCATTTTTTTTTAATTATTGTTTTCCGTACGAGTTTAAATGAAGTATCTTCGGGTGTTTGTTGGTTTCGATTATGGATCATTTTGAGATTTATTTTCATGCATTTATAGATGGAATGTTTTGAGGGCATAAAAGGAAGCAAAAAAGAAAAAAACACAAGGGAAAGAACATTCTTTTTGGTCTTGAAATTGCAAAAGAAAGGAATTTTTGGTGCCAAGGTAAACTTATGTCTCTTCTCATTAATTAGGAGTTTGGTTTTGGTATCATTCTTTTCTTTTTGGGAGAATTGCAATTGCATATAAGGTCATGGGCCAATATTTAATTGCAACTATATCCCACTTTAATATTTTTCTATAAAAAAGGACATCAATCTTATCAACGACTAAAAACTTACTCCAATTTCACCCCAAAATACTAATTTAATCAATATAGAACATTGACCCTAAATTTGACAAATATTGCATATTAACCCCAATTTTCACAATATTTAAAAAAAAAAATCTGAATTATTTTTTCACATTGACCCCAATTTTCATTCATAGGGTTTGTCGTCCGAATTATTCAGTTTTGTTTACGTGTTCAAGTAGTTGTTTTTTAATTCTTCATCTGTTAGACCTTTTCTTTTCTTTTTGGATAATAATTAGTTTTTGGGCAAAAAGTTCACTTTGCACTCCTGATTATGGACTGTAGGGGTGGTTTCGGTACGGTTACCGAACATTTTGTTCAATACCGTGTACCTACCGTATCTTTCGGTATTGAAAAATTCTATACCGTTACCGTACCAATAATTGCGGTATACCGTTATTCGGTATACCGTTAGTTTCGGTACGGTATGATCGGTACGTGGTAATCTACCGTACATCATTTTGTTGATTAACTCGGATGATACCATAATTAAGATGAATACTAAATAAATGCATAAATACAACAAATTAAGCAAATGAATATGGTAATCAGGCAATTTACATGAATGTACATTATACAGGCAATTTACATGAATGTACATTATACGACCGTAATAGCATTTCAATTAACTAATGATTACTAAGATATCTATAGAAAATTTGTAGAAACTAATGAGCAAAAAAGTTTTATGTTATATAAAGAGAAAAAAAAAAAAAAAAAACTATGTTGCAATAATGCAAATGAAACAAAAGGCTGGGAACTTAGGGGGGAAAGAAAGGGGGAGAAGAAAATTGTGGCAAAAGTATCCACCAATAAGAGATTAGATGGACTTTGAAACTAAAGAAGTACATGACATAAACAACTCAACCAGAGCCAAATATTGAGTTTGCATAAATATATGAAAAAAAAATAAAAAAAAAATAATTATAATATATATATATATATATATATATATATATATAATATATATATAGAATGTATCATATCTTATTCTTGTTTTCTATTTTTTTTAAATAATATTTTGTTGACTATATTTTTTTTATTTAACAATATAAAAGGAAAAATATGTTAACTAATTTTTAAAATAAGTTGCGGTACGGTACGGTATTACCATGGTATTAAAGATACAATACCGCTACCGTACCGTAAGACAATGGTACGGTACCGATACCGTACCAAATGCAGTGGTAACCGATAGTTCGGTATTTATTCGATAATTTGTGGTAGGTATACCGTGGTAATCGCTATTTGGTAATTTTTGCCCAGTCATAATGGACTGTGTCGTATACACACCCCTCAATTACGATATGAGGGTTGATATTATTACAAATAATATAGTGTACACATGTAGTTGAATCGATATATTACTTGCATATTGCATTCAGAAGAAAGCAAATATGCTGTTGATTCAATGCCCTTGCTAAAATATAATGTAATCAATAAAAACAAGGGTAAATTACAACCACACCATTTGAGGTATGCTTAAATAACTTTAATGTCTCTATGGTATCGATAATTACACTCATCCCATGAAACGTAGTTAGAAACTCTGATGGGATAATGCATTGGATACATTATTCCGACAGAGTTTTAACGGACTATTACTGTTAGCCAGTGGTGGAGACAGCATAGAGATATGGGGTGACATGGCTGCCCCAACATTTCTTAAATCACTCATAGCTCTTTGTTGTCTCCACCACATCCTGAAACCAATAGTCCGTTACGACTCTATCGCAATAACGTATCCAATACATTATCTCATTAGAGTTTCTAACTATGTTTCAGGGGGTGAGTGTAATTACCGATACCACAGGGACCTTAAAGTTATTTAAGCATACCTCAGGGGTGTGGGTGTAATTTACCCTAAAAACAAAAAAAAACAAAAAAAAATAAAATATAAAAAGATACATATATTCATATATTTTATATATATTGGCATTATTAGATTTTCTTATGGTACATTGATTTTTTTAACAGAAAAATAAAAAATTCTGTCTTGTGACCCAATTTCAGGCAATTGTCAAATATTACATCGATATTCGTCAATTCATTCGAAACAAACAACCAGCAGTTTGTATCTATTTATGATTGCTTCGCTGTACTTAATTTTACTTGATGATGCATCCGTTTCCAATTTTACTATTCTCATTCAAGAAAAAAATGTCCCATATAAATAAATAGCATTATATATATTATATAATATTCGAATAATTCACAATAACTTTACATCATCCTTAATTCATTACATTACACTCTAGTACGTGAACTTCACTTTCCGGGTACGAAGTTTGTGGCAAAGGCCCAAGCGTTGTTGCCAACGGGGTCCGCAAGGTGATCGGCAAGGTTCTCCAACGGGCCCTTTCCGGTAACAATAGCCTGAACAAAGAATCCGAACATTGAGAACATTGCAAGCCTACCATTCTTTAGCTCCTTAACCTTTAGCTCAGCAAAAGCTTCCGGATCCTCAGCGAGCCCCAACGGGTCGAAGCTACCACCCGGGTAAAGTGGGTCCACCACGTCACCGAGGGGCCCACCGGCAATTCTGTAGCCCTCAACAGCTCCCATCAAAAGAACTTGGAAACCCCAAATGGCCAATATGCTCTGTGCATGGACCAAGCTTGGGTTGCCCAAGTAGTCGAGCCCGCCCTCGCTGAAGATTTGGGATCCGGCCTTGAACCAGACGGCCTCACCGAACTTGACCCCGTTGCGGGCCAATAGTTCGGGGAAGACGCAACCAAGAGCACCAAGCATGGCCCACCTAGAGTGGATTACTTCGAGTTCACGATTCTTGGAGAATGTTTCGGGATCAGCTGAAAGCCCAGCGGTGTCCCAGCCGTAGTCCCCGGGGAATTCGCCGGTGAGGTAGCTAGGGGCCTCCCCGGAGAATGGGCCCAAGTATTTGACACGGTCAGGGCCGTACCATGGGCTGCCCGATGAGGCGGGCTTGGGCTTGGCGGCGGTCTTTCTCATTGAAATCCTGCCATTGCCGGTGATTTCGGGGGTGGACTTGACAGCCTGTCCGGCGAAAGAGGGGGAAGACAATGCCATTGAAGAGGCAGCCATTGTTGTATTATTGAAACTGAATTGACTATTTTGCAAAAGTAGATTGTTTGTTGGATTGATTTCTAAGGCATGCAGGTGAAGGTATTTATATGAATAGGTGGTGGATATGTTATGAATATCATTATCTAGACTGGTGGCATATTTGGGAATGTTGACGTGGCATGTCCATTTGGCATGCCCTATGACCACTAATCCTATGTAAGAATCTCAGGAGAGGTGTGATGTGTTGTTTTGGCCAATGAGATTTTGCCAAGTGTCCGGCTGGAGATTAATGTATGAAACAGAGATGCTTGGATGAGGATCGGAGATCTAATGTGGATATCTGGAGATCTTGATTTTGAAGCATTGCCACATGCACACGATATTGAGTTGGGGGAAACCGAAATAAAACTAGAAAAATGAAGAATGAAGAAATGACAAACAACATAAAGTGCACTGGCTTGATCATGAATCTACTGCAGAGTAATTAGTGTAATTGTTTATTTTCATTAGGGAAATTAATTATAATATTTTCATATCATACTCTAAACACGGTCATGGGCCGATTCGGGCCGGTTACTCCGGTTCGCGGTTCACTTTTTCCGGAATCGGAACCGGCCTGTACTACACACAGTTCAGCGGGCCGGTCAGTCAGTTTATTCTGGTTCCCGGCCTATCTGGGCCGATTCGGAAATTTATATATATATATACATATATATATATATATATATATATATATATATATATATATATATATATATATATATATATATATATTTTTTTGAAAATACTTGATAGATAAATAAATTAAAAGAAGGGGTAATGGCAAATAGGCCCATGACAAGGGCACTTAATTAAAAGAGGGACATCCAACTTTTTTGTCTTCCAAATAAATCCAGCCCATTCAAACTTATTTGCAAATAAAGAAAATACTTTTATATATACCAAAATTATCCCCAATTCAATGAAACCCAATTTAACTCCAATTTCATGATTTACACCCCAATTTAGCCCAATTTCTTCAATTAACCCATTTTAACCCTAATTTCAATTTTGACCCGCCACCACCGAAGACCGCCGGTCGCCGCCGTTGACCGGCGTTGACTTTTTTTTTTTTTTTTTTTTTTGAAATTTTTATTTTCCTGAATTTTTTTTCCGGCCGGTCAACTGCCGTTGACCGCCAAGTCTCCGGCGTTGACTTTTTATTTTTTATTTTTTATATAATTTTGGTTTTTCTTAAAAAAAAATATTTTAATTAATATTACTGTCTTGGCTGCTAAATTACTGTCTCCGGCAGTTATTTAACTGTCGGAGACAGTAATTTAATTGTTAATTGACTCTTTTGTTTTTTTTTTCTTCAAAAATATTTTAATTAATATTACTGTATTCATTGCTAAATTACTGTCTCCAGCAGTTATTTAATTGTCGGAGAAAGTAATGAACTGTTAATTGACTTTTTTTTTTTTCCTTAAAAAAATTATTTTAATTAATATTACTGCCTTGGATGTTAAATTACTGTCTCCAACAGTAATTTAACTGTCTTAGACAATAATATTAATAATATTACAGTTCGGAAAAATAATATTCATAATATTACTGTCCCAAACAGTAATATTACTGTCCGAGATAGTAATTTAGTAGGCAAGACAGTAATATTACTGTCCCAAACTGTAATATTCATAATATTTTTTTTCTAAGAAAAACAATTCACAAAAAAAAAAAAAAAAAAAGTCAAAGCCGGAGACCGGCGGTCAACGGTGGTTGACCGACCGGAAAAAAAAAAGTTTCAAAAAAAAAAAAAAAAAAAAACAAATTCAACGTCGGAATCTGGCCGGAAATAAAACTTTTCAGAAAAAAAATTATTTTCTGAAAAAAAAAAGTTTTGGGGGTTAATGTGATATATTTGTTTAAATTCGGGGTCAATGGGTAATATTAAGGAAGTTAGAGTATAATGGGTGGAATTGATAAGAATTATATTATTGAGGGTATTTTAGACTAAAGACATGGGGATGAGCTTAATTGAAAACTGTTTTTTTTGTGGACCAAAATGCATTTAAGTCCCATGTGATGGGCCTTTTTGCCATTTGCCCTTAAAAGAATTACTTTTAAATATGAAAAAAAAAGAAAATAAATAAAAGGGAAAATGAGGGAAAACCCCCCCATTAGGGAAAATTACCTAGCCCAGGTCCAATTTGTATTTGGGCTATTGTATAAAAGTCCATATATTTTTTCATCAATTGCTTGACCCCCCTTACGGATGTTTTCTCCCTATTCTGCCCTTATTGTAAATATAATACCCAAACAACGTATCAATCAGAATTGGCGTGAAATCTGTGATTGTACCTCCGTATATCTCGCCCTACGTGATTAGTGCCAACTGCATAATCATAAACCGTTCTGTTTATATCATTATAACTAATCTTCACAGTCAAAAATCTTCGTCATAAATTCTTCGACACAGGCGATACATGTGAAGATTACAGAGTGTGGAATAAAATTTAACGACGAGAGATTGTTTAAAAGAAGGTATGATATTAGTACTAAATCGGCTTATCAGATGAGATGGGGGTTTGTATATACAGTTTCGTTTTGGAATTGGAATTTCAAGTTACTGTATTTGATTGGGTTGATTGCATAGTTTAATTAGTCAGTTCATAATTACAATGGGACTTACGGTGGTCATCCAGACGGGGGTGATTTATTGCTGTTAGGATTAGAAGTGATTTTAAAATAGGTGGTTGTTTTTTGGCAGTTTGCTATGTTTATAGCTCTGTGTCACAGTCGTTAATGTAGTGTGCTATGTCTGTATGTTTTCTCTGGTGTGATAAATAACACTGATCAATTTAATTTTAATAAAATATATTATGCGCGACGAACGTAGTAATCTAACTTACAAATTACATTATTATGAATTCATACAAAAAGAACAATTAAATTGTTCATATAGAATGAAATTTGGTATGTTTATAGCTTCTGTGTCACAGTTGTTAATGTAGTGTGCTATGTTTTTATATTTTCTATGGTGTGATATTTGCTTATGATGAGTTTCCACTTTTCACATTTTTTTTATTTTGTCTCCTCATGCAGTAATCAAATGGCGATTAGTGTGATGCTGATGCTAAACTATGCGGGTGTGAAAGCATTGAAGCGTTTCACAGTTGGTATGCGGTATGAAGCATTGTCTGGCTTTATTTGTTCGAAATGGAGCGGTTTGAGTGCCGATAATCTGTACTTGACGTACAATTTGCCTATGTTTGGTGATTGCATTCTCGGAGATGATGAAGATGTATTGTCAATGTTTGCCATGGTACAACAGTTAACTTTGCAGAATATTGTTGTTAACGTGAAGGAAAAGGAGAAGCGTGCTGAATTGGGAAATAGGGGAAGGTCGTTGGCGTACGTTGATAACGATTTTCAGGTTCAAAATGCCCTAGTTGGGAGTTTATCTGCGTATGCACCATCTGCATTATTGGTTGAGAATGATGGTTTATGTGAAGAACGAATCATGGGTGTGCCATCGAATGGTAAGCAACTATTGAGCCACAATTGGCTTTTTTTTATTAGGGATGTGGGACAGGTTTTTAAAGGGGGCGTTGTTGAGTTTAGGAAAGCATTGTGCAAATTTTCTGTTGAATCTGGTTTTGAGTTTAACTACGTGAAAAATGAGTCATATCGAGTCACGGCACAGTGCAAGTACAGAGACTCGAAGAAATGCATGTGGAGAATACATGCATCGATTGAGAAGTGCAACAAATTTTGTTATATTAGGAAATATCATAAGTATCACACATGTGGCATGACATTTGGAACTTGCAGTAGAAGAAGGATCACGTCCGATATTATTGCAGAGCTTATTGTGGATGATATTCGAGCTATGCCTACAACGACCCCTAAAGATGTAATTCACCAAGCTAAAGATAAATATGGTATTGATATTAGTTACTTTGTTGCATGGAGGGCTGTAGATGCGGGCAGGGAGGTTGTGTATGGTGATCAAACCACATCGTACTCATTCCTTCCATCATATTTTCAAGAAATGCGAAAGACTAATCCGGGTAGTATTTTCCATTTAGATGTTGATGAATTTTCCAACAATTTTGTGCGGTGTTTTTTCGCTTTCGCTGGATGTTTGAGTGGTTTCAAATCATGTCGTCCCGTTGTATGTGTTGATGGTACTTTTTTGAAGGGAAAACACAAGGGTATATTGCTCAGCGCCGTTGCGAAAGATGGCAATGATGGTAATGTTTTGACGTAGTTACATATTTTTTTTTGGAATTGTATTAGTCAATCATAATGCATGTTTAAATTATTAGCAACTAGATTATTGACGTAATGTTTAATATGCAGGTTTATTCCCGTTTGCATTTGCTATTGTGAATGAAGAAACAAATGCTAATTGGGCATGGTTCTTGGAACATTTGAGAGACTCAGTAGGTACGGAGCGTGTACTAACATTTATATCTGACAGGTGCCATGGCATTGTTGAGGGGGTGAAGAACATTTTTCCAGGCTCTCGTCATGCATTTTGTGTAATTCACTTGAAGAGGAATTTGAAGAACCATTTTAGGGGTGTTGGTGCCAACCTTCGGAAAGCAATTGTACTTCAGTTCGATTCTTGTGTTTATGCTGCATCGAAGGAAGAATTTGAGGTTGCAATGGGTGACTTAAGATCCAATGGAGCGGAAAGAATTTTCAATTTCTTAGCTGACCTTCCTTATGAGAATTGGGCGCATTCGTATTTTGAGGCTGGTAGATATGGTCAGACCACGTCAAATGCTGTTGAGTCATGGAATGCCCAAATTCGAAGGTATAGACATCTTCCCATCACCAATTTCATTGATGCAATTCGGAGTTTGTTAATGGTGCAGATGTGTATAAGGCACGAGGAGGGTGACACGTGGACAACTGCTATATGCCCGAATCTTGAAACAATTGTTGATAGTTTTGTGAATGAGGGTAGACCATTGACGGTTAAAAAGGCGTCTGAATTTGTGTATGAGGTGTACTCGGTGCCGAATGCTGTTGTAGATGTGCAGGCAAGAACATGCTCGTGCAGATGGTGGCAAATCAATGGATATCCTTGCGTACATGCTGCAG